ATGTTTGTGAGAAAATACAAATACAAATGATGAAGATTGACAAAAAAAACAACGATTATCATTAAATACAACAAAATTCAATCATTATAAGCGATCAACGTCCTCTCCACTAGATCAAGGCATACTTGAATGAGGCCTACATAATTTTAGAATTGAGCTCCACATCATATTTAAGATCCTTCTGAAACTCCACCAAACAATCTTCATAGGCCTCATTACCTCTGGAGCGGGCGTCCTTCTCATTCTTCAAGACAGTCTCCACCTCTATCAACTTGGTCAATAAATAAGTAAGAGCCCCTATGGAAATAGCCAAATATTTCTTCCCCTTATTTAGAGAAAATCAAACCTCCTTAAGGGTTTTTTATTTTTCTTAAAGATCAAAGAGGGAGCCATGCATTTCTATGTCCTTTTATAAGGAAATAAGTTGTGCCTGAAGTTTTCTCTACTCCCAGAATATGAAGTCATGTTGATTATTTAAAATTTCATTCTTCTTACTTAGGTTTAAAAGAACTAAGATATCCCCCTCCCCCCCCCCCCCCCCCCAACCATCATTCCAAATGGTCATCAGAGAAGTAGCCCTGTACATATGGTAAGCCATTTCCGCCATAATTTCATGTTTGGCGTTGTCAAAAAAGTTATGGAAATAAGCATATTCTCCTTCAGTAAAGCAAGATTGCACTTCTTTCATAGTGTGGAGACCCTTATTTATGAAAATCGATTGCATAAAATAAGTGGGAGGCACACTCTAGTTGCCGCTCATAATCATTTTCTCAAAGGAAGGTTTTGTTTAATTGGACCTCTTTGTAGGATATTCCTTATGTGTCTTATCCTTGCCCTTGTCCCTCTTGAAGGGGTCAACAATGGTAGGCTTTGATCGATTCCCGACCTTTTCACCCTGTTGATCATGGAATTTTTTGCTACAACCCTACGAGGCTAGGCGGTCCTAGTCTAGCTTATCTTCTTGCCTAGCTTGTTTCAGAAGTGTTTAACCTAGTTTCAAGGCATTACCTCTTTTCAAGATCTCCCCGGGTGCTACTCTAGTGGCATACTAAGTAGAATTTATTGGGGGGGGGGGGGGGTTGAAAAGGAGTATTCTTCGTTGACGCCGCCTTTTTCCTCTTCATCACATTATGGATCGATCATGTGTTATCTACAGAACAAAATAAAAGCAATGATTAGGTAAAAACTAAAATTAACAACATTAACAAGCAAAAATGATGGTTCCCTTCTTTCACCAATGAACTCGTGTCTCTCTTGTGTGTCAGCCGCTCCCAACACCAATTACGTGTTAATATACTGCCTCTTCTATTGAGTCGGCGACAAATCAGATGGATCATACTTTCCCATAGAGCAAATAAATCAACTTCAAAGTACACTTCTTCCAGATCCAGTTCTTTCAAAGGGAACAAATAATTGCTTGAAACCCTTAAGAAGTGATTTTTATTTCAATACTTTAGAGAAAGGAGCAAAGAGATTCACTAAGAGACAATTTCTAAGAGAAAAGAGAAACAAAATGGGTCTATATCCTAAGTTAACTATTTCTAATAGAAAAGAGCATAAATAATAAAAATAAACAAAGCGGGGTAGAGGTGGTACCTTGAAAACTGAAGAGATGAAGTTAATAAAACGATGAAAAATCCATCAAGAAACGTGAGCGACCAAAGTGGGTTGCAAAATCGAGAAGGAAAAACAAATGGAAAAGACAAGATGTCGTCAAAGCTCAGGGAAAGAAAGCCAGAGCTGGTGGAAAAGAGAGAACTAACCTTTATATAATGAAACAACGTGAGCAGATCTACGATCAATAACAAAAGGAAGATACACATACGAGATCAACCATTGAATTTACCTTAAAATTACAACGACACTTGAGTGCATTTGACCACCCTAAACGACAACACCGTGCTATACCTTCGGAACCTAAGACCACGTGTGAATGCAATACTACGAAATATTTTAGTGATAAGTCTAACATTTAATGCGCATGTTCCCAAGGTCTCACCACTTCCATTCACTAGTCTTTTCCACTTCCATAAACATGAGCTCGTCAAGAATACTATGGTAGATGGAGATCCAGTAGACTCAGGTCTTCACATTGCTTTGTGGTATCAAGATCTTTGGGGACAACTATTTTGGGTAGGCCATAGGCCCAAATGACGGAGAGACCAAATCATAAGAAAACCCAACCCCAAATCCATGCACTAGGTTGTTGAAGATCAGGTGCGCCCTTTATTAAGAAGAAAACACAATCTTTATTGTTCGATGATGATCCACCGTTAGATTTAATCAATCGGTCCATTGCATCTTACGCCAAGGAACACAAGGCAATTATAATCGTCTGTATGTAAAGATGACGTGTGTTGATTACAAGTATATTCTCACCATTTTTTCACATCTTATTGATTTGAACGTTAGAATACTAACTTTGCAAATCCGTCCCTCTCCACCATATCAAAAACACTCGTCGTCGCTTTAATCAACTTCACATCTTCATTTCCATTATTTCTAGTACGTGCTAAACAACATAGAACAAGTTTTTTCTCATAATTTAAACCCGAAACAACAATATTACTTTGTATTTTTCATATTAATATTTTTTTTATAAACAAATCAACAATTTTTCATTAAAAAAAGTTAATAAATATTTATAATATAAATGAAGACAAAATACCATTTTAGTGTACATTTTTTCTAAGATACATTAAAAAAATATTTATATACTCATAAATGCACATTTGAAAATGGTTAGATGGACACTCCTAACATTAGTCAATAATACAGTAAGTATGAAATTATAAATATAGAGAATGATTATTATTTTTAATATTACAGTATGATGAAAATTTTAGCTATAACTAAATATAAACAAACAAAATGAATTATAATTGTAACTTTCTTTCTATAACTTTCTAATACACGTGATGATTGGAAAAATTTAATATAAAAGAACAATTGTATGTCATGCTGAATTATTAAATTGTCAAACATTACCTCACATGTTTTCTTTAGAAATAGATGTTGATTTTTAAAAAATGAAGAATTTGATTAGTGTATACGTGTGACAAATTTAGAATTTAACTATTAAGTAATCAGTCAATATAAGAGTCTATATGATGTAAACAGTGAGAAAATCAGATATTGATATTTTATGCACTATTATTTTATGCACTGTGATGTTTTATGCAATGTAATTGTTATCATTATTTATCTTTTGTAGATTTTTAATTGGGTTTTATTAGTAGTTAGTTTTTAAATAGGATTAGGATGATATGTATTATTTATTTTAATATATTTTTTATTGTGCTTAAATTTATTTCGTTATTTTTTTTGGTTGAAATTGATCTTTATTTATTTTATTTTTTGAATTGTTTGGATTTAAGACACGTTAAAGTTCTTTTATGCGTTCTTAAAAAAATCATTTGTCGACCTCTTTGGTAATAAATATTTTTTTGTAAATTACGTAGTAAATCAAATTGTAAAATAAAAAATTAGTGAGTCAGTCCACCAACTAGTTACTAAACGGAACGGGTTTGACTTTTGAGTTCGGATGTCTAATTTAGTTTGTCCCGCTTTTAGACCATCTTAAACGGAATGGACTGTCCACTTTGTCACTCCTAATTAAGATCACATAAAATTTCAAAACTAATAGTGACAGATATACTGATATATGCTACTGACCACCAAAAGAATCTTTATATTACAAATAATATTTTTTATATAATAATTGAATATTTTAAGATCAATTGACATAAAAAAATGAATAGTATTAAATATACTTATATGATAAAATGAATAGTACTAAAATATTCTTATATTATAAGAGTATATTTAGTTCATTATAAACTAGCGTCCAGGGGCACTCGCGTGTCCGTCTGTCCGCTTTTTTATTGCACACATATAAATATAAATGATATATTTTTATTTAATATTAATTTTACATGGAAGTTATGTGGGAAGTTATTAGTAGGGAGTTATATAAAAGATGATAATAGTAGTTCAATGAAAATTATTGTGTAAGTTATAAGGATAAATTTGGTATAAAAAAAAACTACACAAAAAATCAACTATTATCTTTATATATGTTATAGATTATAGATTATAGATAAAATATTAAAAATATTAAATTAATAAAAATGAATAATATTAATTGCATATTTAAAAAAATTTAAATAAGTATTTTGCCAAAAATTAAAATACCATATAGTTATTTTTAAATTAATTTTATTGATAACTGTACGAGGACATTTAACGGCAAAGAAATATTTGAACTTGTTTATCTCGCTTATAGGTGAAATTAATTCAAATTATTAAACTAAAAAGTTAAATAAGTTAAAAATAACATTCTAGTATATAATACTAATTTTAAAATTAAAAATCAAATATATCTGACATATTTTTTGAAAAACATGAATATCTAAAATAAAATATTTGAATAAAAGGGGAGGAATAACAAAAAAAAACTAAGAGCATCCACACTCATTATTCCCACTTTGATTCTTTAAATGGGGTTCACGTAATTTTTTATATTATATTTCAGTTTAATATTTTCTAAACAACTCAACTATATTTTTTAAATATCCATACAATCCATCAAAAACTCTAAAATGAGTCCCACCAAATACCTTACATTTAATTAAGAAACGTTCTCTTGCAGATCAACGTTGACAAAATAAATGACAGTTAAAATTTTCAAATATCCATCAATTTCTCATAAAAAAGCTTTGGTTTTTGTGAAGAAACGATGACATGTCATTGATATTTATGCTCTAACAAGCGGAACCAAAGTAAACCCTTTAATTCCGAACTTGAAGGCCTAACTTGTTCTCTCCTCTATAAATAAGCCTCGAAAGTCCAAAACCTCCATCCATGCATTCATCACTTCTCTAAATCCATTAATTCCCGTTCCCACAATCTCTACACTATTCCCCATGAGCCAACAAAAGCTTAACTAACCTTCTCTTTGTTCTCTCCCGTCTATTTTCTGTGTATCTCTCACAGCAACCATGACTGTGAACATAACCTCCATCAAAACATCCTCCAATGGAATCTGGCAAGGCGATAATCCCCTCGATTACGCTTTCCCTCTTCTCATTGTTCAAACCGTCTTAGTCCTCGTTGTTTCTCGCTCCCTCGCTCTCCTCTTCAAACCCCTCCGCCAACCAAAAGTCATCGCCGAAATTGTCGTATGTATCTCACCACATGCACCGTTTAATATTTAGTTGTTTATTCAACTAGTTTAATGAATGAAATTTCATCAATAAATAATATATGAGGTAACTAGTTGAATTATATCCTTGGAGTCATTTTTCTTATTTGCATGTTTTTGCAGGGTGGAATTCTGTTAGGTCCATCGGCGTTGGGAAGAAACACAAACTACCTGCACCGTATATTCCCGGCATGGAGTACTCCAACGCTAGAATCAGTTGCAAGTATTGGATTATTGTTCTTTCTCTTCCTCGTTGGACTTGAGTTAGATCTAAACTCTATTCGGAGAAGCGGTAAAAAAGCATTCAGTATAGCAGCTTTCGGAATTTCCGTTCCTTTCATCTGTGGAATCGGCGTCGCCATTGTCCTCCGGAAAACCGTCGACGGCGCAGACAAAGTCGGATTCGGTCAATTCCTCGTCTTCATGGGAGTCGCTTTATCAATAACCGCATTTCCCGTTTTAGCGCGAATCCTCGCCGAACTCAAACTCCTCACGACGCGCGTGGGCGAAACCGCGATGGCAGCAGCCGCATTCAACGACTTAGCCGCGTGGATTCTACTCGCTCTGGCGATCGCGTTAGCCGGAAGTGGAGCCGACGGAGGAAAAAGTAAAAGTCCTCTTGTTTCCATTTGGGTACTTCTCTCCGGCGTCGCTTTCGTTGCCTTTATGATGCTTGTTATAGGTCCTGTGATGAAGCGCGTGGCTCAAAGATGCTCCGCGGAAAACGAAGCCGTGAACGAAGTTTATATTTGTATTACCCTAGCTGGTGTAATGGTTTCAGGATTCATAACTGATTTCATAGGGATTCACTCGATTTTTGGAGCGTTTGTTTTTGGGTTGACGATTCCGAAAACTGGGAATTTTGCTGAGAGGTTGATAGAGAGAATTGAGGATTTTGTTTTGGGATTGCTTCTACCACTTTACTTTGCTTCGAGTGGGTTGAAAACGAATGTGACGAAAATTAGCGGCGGAAAAGCGTGGGGGTTGTTGGTTTTGGTGATTTCAACCGCTTGTGCAGGAAAGATTTTAGGAACTTTTGTTGTTGCTATGATGTGCAGGATTCCCGTTAGAGAATCAATTACACTTGGAGTTCTCATGAACACAAAAGGTCTTGTTGAACTCATTGTACTCAACATTGGAAAAGAGAAAAAGGTTAGTTTTATCTTTTTCCTCTCATTTTTTTATTTTATTTTTTTTTGTATATTTTTATTTAAACTAAATAATTTATTTAAGTAGGTCTCTTTATTTTTTATAATATAATATAATCTGAGACAAGGGAGGGGAGTATTATATTGATATATCAAAGGATAAAACTTGAGTATATAATTTGTATGCAAGTTGTAAAGTTAATTTTCAACTATACCTTGGTATGAGCATTATAGGTGCATGAATATATAATGAATAGAGTTTTGAAGTTGAGATTTTAAGACAAAAGATACTCCATATATCCGTTCCAAAATAAATATTGTTTAAAATTTTATACTACAAATCATTAAAACATATTTTCTATTAAATTTATTGATGCAAAATTAAAAATAGTAATGTTTTAAGAAGTTAAAATGACATTATAATGAGAGGTAAAGATAGTTATAGTTTTTGTACTAAAGAGAGGATAGTAATAAACAGTGTGACACGTTGGTGTTTTAGTTTGTTATGAATTGGTGGGTTGGCTTGATAGTTCTACAAAGTATAAAATACTCAAAACACAATTGTAACGTGTTCACATGAAAAGTTGAACAAAGTTGCAAAGATAAACTTTGTTTCATAAGATACTTATTTGACTCGGTATAGTTTAAGTTATTTAATACTAGTTTAAAGCTATGATTGAAAAATAATGTTAATGTGATTGACAAATTTGGTGAATATTTACTTTATTCAAAATTTTGATTGGGAAATATGTTTTTCCTTTCTTCACTGTTTTGTTGCAATTTTCTCAGTAGCCGTGTTGAATAAGGTTAGGGACCTTAGATGAAAGTAGAGTATTGACTAGTCCAATTGCATGAAACCTAATTTTCATGTAAATTGTTTTCTAGCCATCAATTGATCATAGTGGATTCTGTTTCAAAACATATGATATGAATCTCGTGAAAAAAGACTTTGGAAGTTGCTTTCTTTAGTACTTTTTTCTACTTTTCGATGCTATTTTAAACTGGTGATAGATTAGGAATACATGGTTGGTCAGTCTATTTAATTACTACTCTCTTTTATTTTTTTTTAAAGATTATTTTTTTAATTTTTTTTAATTGACACTTATAAAATTTAAGATAATATTAAATGTACTTTTATTAAAATTATCCTTAACTAATTATTAGGGGAAAAAAATAAAAAATCAAAGATTAGTGACATTTAAAAAAGAAAGTTATATTTAGTTTACCCTCTTGGGGATGACGTATTCACATAAACTGTTTACTATTAAAATATAAATTATTGCAAATTAAAGAATAGTCTAGGCTCTGCCAGCATCACGAACTCTTTCCATTTTTAACCATTTTCCTAGCTGTAAAAGGATTAACATGTGCAACTGCAATGAAATGCCATTTATTGGTCTAGCTTACAGACTCAGCATCATCTTATTTATATTCTTGCTTTCCATAGTTTCTAATGAGTTTCGTGTCATAAAAGATTATGATAATTTAACATCAGAATTTTTTTAAATTAGTATGAGAGATATCTGTAGAAACGAAAATATGAAAGTTATCTATAAGAGTGTCATTAAATCTAGTACACAAAACTAGAAAGAAATTTTATTCTCTCTATTATTAATTCTATTATTTTTTATGATATATTACTCATGTGTTAGAGTGTTACGCATTATAATCACAAGGTTTGCATTTCATTGTCCAAATAATTTCTTTAAATGTGTAAAATACAGACAGTAAGAAAATCCTTAAAAAGTTTTACATGAAAATAGTATTATACTTGCACTTGTTACTATTTTTTAAAACAAGTTTTACAAATCTAGCCATTGATATTTTGTCTTTTATGTAAGTAAAATAATAGGTGTTAACTATATTTTTAATATGTTGCTTGACTTTTTATAGTATGGAATAAACAATTTGCCGGGTGTCAAATTATGGTTAATCATAACACTGAACAAATATATTTTATTTAGCCTATGGTGAACTTATTATTTTTAGATGCATATAAGTTAATAAAAGATGTTAAATAATAGAAATATAATCGACTACCTGACATAGATACAATATTTTATTTTAAGAGACAATACGTGTACATGCAAAAACTTAAACAAATCATTCATTTTATTTATTTTTGTAAAAGGAAAATGTTAAGGTATTATTTTTTAATTATGGGTTTAACAAAAATGCTGATATAAGTTTTATATTGTAATTCAATAAAAATATATTATTAGGAAGGATTTGTATTATATATCGATGTTATAATTTAATTACATTTTTTAACTTGGTTTATTTACAGGTTTTGAATGACGAAATATTTGCAATATTAGTGCTTATGGCTCTATTTACCACCTTCATCACAACCCCAGTAGTGATGGCCATCTATAAACCAGCTCGAGGCATCGCAGACAAAACTATTCGCAAGCTAGGTGACATGTCCACACACTCTTCTAAAGACAAAAACGTGGTGGAAACTCTTCGTGTCCTAGCTTGCATCCATGGTCCAACCAACATTCCCGCCATCATAAACCTCATTGAATCAACACGTAGCACCAAAAACTCCCTCCTCAAAGTCTTCATCATGCACCTTGTTGAGCTCACAGAACGTTCATCTTCCATCATCATGGTTCAACGAGCTCGCAAAAACGGTTTTCCTTTCTTCAACCGGTTTAACCGCGATGAATGGTACAACCGTCTTGCTGGGGCTTTTCAGGCCTATAGTCAATTAGGCCGGGTTATGGTCCGGTCAACTACAGCAATCTCTTCTCTATCCACAATGCATGAAGATGTTTGCCATGTAGCAGAGGAAAAGAAAGTGACAATGATCATATTACCTTTCCATAAACATTGGAGGATGGAAGTTGATGAAGAGAATGACAAGGAGTCTCATGAGGTGATTGAGAATGCTGGGCATGAATGGAGAGGTGTGAACCAAAGGGTACTTAAAAATGCTCCTTGCTCAGTTGGTGTGCTTGTGGATAGAGGATATGGGCATGGCTCAAAGAACTTGGGCTCAGAAGGTACTGTGACACAAAGAATATGCATTGTATTCTTCGGCGGGCCTGATGATCGCGAGGCATTAGAGCTGGGAAAGAAAATGACTGAGCATCCAGCAGTTGAAGTAACCATTGTAAGGTTCGTTGAGCAAGATGCGGAAAGTGGTAATAACTTTGTTTTGCGCCAATCACCTGGAAAAAGTGCTGATGACAGCTATAGCTTCGCCATAACAAAAATGAACCGACAAAAAGAACTGGTAATTATACTCCAAAGTCCAAACAACTTTACTAACTCAATTATACTTAAACAGAATACGAATATTTTTATACTAACATTGCTACAAATTGCAGGAGTTGGATGAAAAAGCAATGGAAGAGTTTAGAAGCAAGTGCGGTGAAAAAGTAAAGTATATTGAGAAAGGTAGTGGCAACGTTGTGGAGGAGGTAGTAGCATTAGGAGAAAGTGTTGATTATGATCTCATAATTGTCGGGAAGGGCCGGTTTCCATCGACTATGGTGGCGGAATTAGCAGAGAGGCCAGCAGAGCATGCAGAGTTAGGTCCCATAGGAGACATTCTAACATCCTCAACAACAGGTCACAAGATGGTGTCATCAGTACTTGTTCTTCAACAACATGATGTGGCAATAACAGAGGATGCACCAATGTACAAGGTTAAGGTGCATGATGAGAATGTTGCAGAGGTTTCATCTGCAAGGCATGAGATAACTATTGCAAATGCAGTGTAATTACTTATGAGACTACCCTCAAAGGAACATGATTATATCTTATAGATTAGAGAAACTTTTCATGAAAAAAGTTTATCTCTGTAGTGAAGTTGTGTTTCAAGTAAATATGTAATTATATTTTATATCCTTTAATTTTGGTGGGTTAGTAACCACTGGTTGCATTTGATATCACAAGTCAAATAAAAGTTGTATATTTTCTTTACCAAGTTTTATACATTGACAAGTTAGATACTATAAGAAATAAATAAAACATATAAGAACGTCATCAATTTTTTTATTTTATGGGCTTGTTGTATAACGCGCTAGCTCATTGCTTAAGTTATTGTTCTATAGTATCAAAAAATTGATTCTTTGTAAATAGGGGTGGAAATAGATTGAGTCGAGATAGACTTTATCAAACTTGAGTCTGATCTATTAAAAAATTCAAAGCTTAAGTTTGATCTTTAGTCTATCATAGACTTAATTCGAGTCAATAAGGTGTTGTGATTCGAGTCAAGTTCAACTCATGATTCGAGTCAAATTAGGCAGAGTTCAATCTTAACTTTCATGGAGAGTTATGATTTGAGTCATGTACAAACCATGATTCGAATCAAATCATTCAGAGGCCAAACCCAATTTTTACAATAAGCTTGATTCGAGTCACACATAACACATGATTCGAATTAAATTATTGGGCACCTTGATTTAAGTGTTCTAATTTGTGATTCAATCAACACTTGATTAAACGACAAAATCAACTTAGTAAGCTAAAAAAGGAACACCATCTTGGATAAAAACTCTAATTTACTAAATAATGAAGGGTCTTAATTGCACAATGCTAAATATCCTAAACGAACACAATACAATTAAAATTGTGAATGAATTACAAACACGCAAATATAAAAATAATGAATAAATTACAAACACGCGAATAATCAAATAACACATACGCACAAATTGACAAAAACATCAAAACAAAGAAAGAGATACCATACGATAACGCGAGTGAAATTTCAAAATCGTTATATAAGCGCGGTAGAAAACAAATAATTTCTCTTAAGTTAATCCTTATGAATGAGCATGACCAATGATAGAAACAATTACTCTTGTGGTGATTAAAACCTTCAATGCAAAATTGGATGAATGATCACAAGCTTTGAAGGAAGAACAACGCCTCTACTTGGTCCACACGATCAGAGTGTCTTCAATCTCAGTGCTAGCTGTTACGAATGAAGATCTTGAGAGAGAGAGAGAGAGAGAGAGAGAGAGAGAGAGAGAGAGAGAGAGAGAGAGAGAGAGAGAGAGAGGGAGTGTGTGTGTGTGTGTGTGTGTGTGTGTGTGTGTTAAAATATGAATTTTATCAAGTGAAAAAGCTTATGCATAAGAGTTCTATTTATAGAACCACTTGTGTGGGCTGCAAGCTGAAAAGGCGTACTTAAGTGCATTGTTTATGTTGTACTATATCTCACTTAATTGCACGGTACCTTACGGTATTCCATATTTATCTTAAGTGTATTGTACCTTACGATGTCCTACAACTCACTTAAGCACACCTTACCTTATGATGTTTCTTAATTCTCTTAAGTACATCGTATCTTACAATGTTCCTTATTTCATTTATTCATTCTATCTTTCATCAATATGTCCTTACGTGTGACCGTGTAGGTTCTCGTGACATTAACAAATATGCTAAATCACATATTTAATATAATAAATATTGAGTGATATCTAGCAACACATCACTGCTAACCAAGTCACGAAAATGTCAAGTGATATGACAAAATCTTTCCATGATAACGTTTGTGTGTACAATTACCTTTTTTCTCATGTCTATACTAAATACAAGGCATAAATCGTGTCACCCTTGTTCAATTCAATATTGAGCCCTTAGACATATAGCATGTTGTACAGGATGGACAAATTCCATCTAGGTCATTCATGTACCTCAGCATAATTTGTGAAGTACCCATTAACCATGTTCATGGTCGTCCACTTACAGACAAAGTTTGATTGACAGTAAAGTACTTGACTCCTTATCTAGGGTCCATAGTGATTTCAAGTTGAATGGTGTTATACACCATTATTATCATGAGATAAAGTTATGACATTTGCATAACATTCTATGTAGTATTTTCATGGTGAGTCAATCTAGTATAAATATTACTCCTAATATCCATACATATGTGAAGACTTGATAACTCTTTATTCATGAATCATGAGATGTGATCATCAACCTATCCACATGATAATCTCAATGCTTTAATGTTGTCCCACTTCACAATACAACTTGAATATGGAAGTCAATTTCCTCAATCCATTTAGAAACATAGTCAACAGTTACGAGTATGTACTGATTTCCAATTGAGGAATGTAAGGGTCCCATGAAGTCAATCTCACACATAAAAAAAATTCACCTTTACGATGTTACTGTTGGTGCCTCTCTTAAACACATCTCTGGAAGATACCATTTGCGTCTCTCTTAAACAATACAAGTTTATCCTATTAATAATGCTTAAGGTCATCAAATAACATTTTCTTACGCTAATAATTCATATATATATATATATATATATATATATATATATATATATATATATATATATATATATATATATATATATATATATATATATATATATATATATATATATATATATATATATATATATATATATATATATATATAAGGTAAGACTTCATCTGCAAGGTAATTGAAAATTTCAGAATGCCAAGGCACTCACTTTGTATCAACATAAAAAAGCTTATCGTCAGGGAAATAGCCATCTAGATGTAAGTCTTTCTTTTTCAAATCACTCAACCTAGACAGAAGGTATGTGACCACATTTTCCGTAGCCTTCTTGTCTCTAATCTCTAAATCAAATTTTTGGAGCAATAGATTCCACTAGATTAACCTAGGTTTTGCATCTTTCTTTATCAACTAATACTTAATGCTTGCATGATCTGTATACACAACTATTTTTCACTTATCATAACCTGCATTATTGATTTAGCTTTTTCTTATGTACATCTTAACATGATAATTAATCATGGAGAATGATGGTACCTCTCAAACATAATGTCCGCCTATTTCACAAGAAAGTACACATCAACCAACTAATAATGGAAGAGATAACCTATCAACTGATGCTCGTCCTCCCACACCAAATGATAATATGAAGGTTGATAGTGAAAAGACTAAAAATCATCCATCAAGACTTAAAAGTATTGTATGGGATCATTTTACAATGATCAAAGTTGGCCAAAAGATAATGTTAAATGTAATTATTGCTCAAAGTTGCTTTGTATATAATCAAATGATGGGACGTCACATTTACGTGGACATATGCAATGTTGTCCTAAAACAGGAGTTTTTGAAACCATCTGGTAAAGAACAAACATTTCTTACACCTAAAATCATGCAAGGTAAACGAGAGTTAGGTACTGAAATTTATAATACAGAAAATGCTAAGAAAGACTTTGCATATGCAATTATTTTGCATGAATATCCGCTTTCAATATATAATTATATTAGTTTTAGAAGATACTCAACTTCTCTCCAATCACTATTTCAATTTTCTTGTAGAAATACTATAAAAAATGAGATACTCAAAGTGTACAACTTTGAGAGTGAAGGTAGGAAAACACTTAGAAGGGGTGGGGGGGGGGGTTGAATAAGGGGTTTTCAAAAACAATTATGACAATAGAAAATAACAAGTTATTTTTATCCTGGTTCGTTTGAACTCAAACTACTCCAGTCCACCCGACCAAGGTGATTTCGCCTCTCTCAAACGAGGACTTAATCCACTAAATCAAAACCTGATTACAGTGATATCACTAAGACAAACTGTCTTAGTCTTCTCAAGAATCCTGACCACAACTTGGTCTCTCAAGGAACTTTTACAAAGATGAAATACAATGTGTTTAAGTGCTTCTAAAAAGCTATTATCACAACTGTGATTTTTACACAAAATGAAGAACAAATAAAACTTATGTGTTTGATGTACTTGTGTTTTTCTTTGAATGAGTTTCTACGTTGATTGTTTTTCAAATGTTCCTTGGATTGTTTTTGAAATTCTTTAACTTGAAGTGCTGATGGAGACTTCTTTATATACTCCACTTTCTCAAATAGTGTGTAGATGAAAGTACTGTAGGATGTAGACAGAAAAGACAAATACTTTTTTTCTTGATTTGACATTCCCTTTTTGCCTGAATTCCTGTGCCATACATGAATGAGAAATAATGTCGTTGGTAGACATTGGGATTAGCAACGTATCTTTCTTGAACAACAATATCTTTTTAAATGAACAGATATGAAAAATCATCTTGCATCAGATCCTCTGATGATGTTCCATGTTCTTCTTTATCAGAGTCACTCTATCCAGAGTTTTGCAGCAAAGTACTTAGCGTGAATGAATGATCAGAGTTGACTTGATTCTCAGAGCCTCTGTAGGTTGTAGCGTTGAGTTCTCACAGAGTCTTTTGAATACACTGAATCTTTATACTCTGCGCTCAGAGTCTTCTGTAGGTAGCGCTTCAAAGTCTTCTGTAGCTTTGCTCAGAGTCTTCTATGTTGCGCTTTCTATGCTCAGAGCTTTGCGTTATATAATGTTCAGAGGAATTCTTTTTTTTTTCTTCAGATGAATATTTATTTGATATCTGAAACAAAAACACTTGAATAAAATTAGGGTATATATTTTCTCTATAAAAAATTTCATTAATGTTATCATCAAAACATTGAGATATATTAAGAACCAATCTCTGTTCTAACAATCTCCCCATTTTTGATGATGACAAAAATTATACGAAATTTTGTTCAAAACAATAAAAAATATATATCTCCCCTGAGATTATGAATCTCCCCCTGAAATGAATACTGCTAGAAAAAATAAATACTTCCCTTTCAGCACTTGTATTCTTTTCAGAGTCAAATAAAGCTTGTGGACTCTCAGAGATTGTTCAGAGTTACTTCTATGAAATTTGTCAGATAAATAGTTATAGCTCTGAAACACTGAATATATGAT